TTCTTAAAATCATATTAATACCTGAAACCTACATGTGACTCAAATTACAACACTTTTAAGAAAGTAACAAAAATTATTGATCATATTTAAAGTACACTCATGTTTGGTTTAGCTAAAATAGAAATCTAAATCAAAGTCGTCTATTAATTTTAACCATATTTTATGAAATCCACATCTTATATAAACTTTTCAACCACACTTGTATAAAAAAGAATGTCCCCTATAATATAGAGTTGAAGATAGGGTAGATAAGTAGACGTGTCACACTGGTAATCAAGATCGCTTGGATGTGTCTTTACTAAAAATCTGATTTTTAGCCGAATCAAACAAGGGCAAAGTGTCAATGCAAAAGGCTTTCGACATAACATATGTTCAAGTCGACTTAGCTACCTAAAGGAATAAAACTTGAAACATAAAAACAACAAATAAGGAACCATATTACCAGATTCTAAAGAAATTCTCCCAACCTCTATTGGAATTTATCAGTTTTTTGGAAGATCCCAAAAAAAACTTGGAAACTCGAACGATAGAATCAATAGTTTTATTTGGATGGTATATTTGTATTTGTCTAATTGTAGAGATTCTCTCACAGGCATCCAAACAATTCGTCCCAAGCCCATATTTCTTGTCAATTGATTTAGATAATAAATAAAAGAAGTGGTAATTACATAAAATAGTACTTTAAGTTTTTAAACTTCTAAAATCAGGTACAATGTTTCACATTTTCAAAATCAGATGTTCTATTTTAATAAAATAACAGACCCTCTTTCATTTTTATAACCACTCTCTCTATCTATCTTCTCTTACTTTAACACACACTCTCTCTACCCACTGCCGTCGATCCTCCACCCCACCCTTCCAGCGTCGAACGGCAGCGCAAGGCTGCTGTGGGCCCGCCGCAACTGCAAAAAATTGGTCGTCGTCGTTGCGAGCTCTGCTACCCAACTAACACTCATCTTCCCTTTACACCCCTCTGCGAACTCTTCTTCAACGACACCCCTAAGAATCTGCTCCGATCGTTGCTGCTCCGGTCGATGTTGCGGCGTCAAAATGGCTCAGATCGTCGCTGCTCCGGCCATTCAGTTCGCCACCGTCACTCCAACTCTCTCCCATTTCTACCCTCTCGCCGTCTCCAGTATCTCCACTCGTCGTCGCCTCCACTCCCCCATTACTCACAGGTGTCTCGTCGGTGTGAGCACCGCTTCTTCTCTACTGGCGACGCCGCACCGCGGGCAACGATATGAAAGCGGCATCACTCGACGCCGCTACAGCCTGTGGTGAACACCACTTCTTAGATAACTCAGATGCTACCATTCCCAATTGTCGCTTCTTCGATGCCTTCACTCCAATGTGGCGGCATCCACTCCCAAGACCTTTAGTATGTTCTTTGTTCTCTGTGGATTTGAGGTGGTAGCAGTGGTGGGTTTGGGTTTTTTTGTTGGGTGGTGATTGTAGGATGGTGTGGTGGATACGGAGATGGATGTTCTCTGTGATTGTTGTTGGTTGGTTTTGTGGTAGATTTTGAGGTTGTTGTAACTACTCCGGCTGTACCGGCGCTCAGAGCGTCATTGATCCGAGCAGCGGTGCCGAATCTTAGCGGCAATGCTTAGTAGTGGTGAATCTTAGTTGTTGTTGATGTTGGTAGTGAATCTAGCGGTTGCGGTGATTTTTGTTTGGATTTAGTA